ACCCAAGTTCCACACTGGCCCAAGAATTGGCCAGCTTCACCTCACTTAGACCAACTCTCCACCCCTCCCAGGTCTCGAAACCTGCGAGCCACTACCTGCTGACGAACGAGAATATACTACGTGGACAAGCAGACAAACAGCAAACCACCAGTAACTTCTGACTACACCGGTCGGCGGAGCTGAGATTTATGCAACGTCTGTTGCGTCACACATCTCTTCCTACGCAGTCTCTGTCTCCATGCGCCGCTAAAAGTAGTTCGCTCGGCCTCACCCTCCCAACCCCCGCAGCTTAGTTAGGTCCTTCCAGTGAGCCCCCAATTCCTCAGAGCCGGAAAAAATAATTCTACCAAATCAGCTTCCTTCACTCCAGGCTATCTTTTTCCTCCTTTAGGAAAAAGTAGGAAAATTATCAGGCGGATGAATTCAAGTTAAGGGGCCCGTCCTCGAAAGCTCTGGAAACTTCTTTGCGGCGCCGGCGCTGATTGGTCAAGTGAGTGAAGGCGAGGCCGGCGCTGATTGGTGGGGGACACGGCGGCTCGGCTGTTGCTGGGCTCCGGGCTGGGAGAGCCGACGTTGCTAAGTGACTGAGTGCGCGTGCGCCGCGGAGAAGCGCCTTAGCGAGATAGGCTATTTCCGGTTGGAGATGGTGGAGGGATACTCCATTCCTGTCTTTAAACCCCAATCTCCCGAGTCCGTGTTTTTGATCCTTACAGCAGGAAGCAAGGGGATTGGCGGCAACTTTCCGAGAGGGCCTCCCCGGTTTCGGTTTGGAGGTGCTCAGAAGCGGGACGGCGCGGCCGGCAGCTGTTTTCCCAGTGTCCACTGTGAAACACAAGCTCACCTCCCCGAGATTTTAAAAACTGCGCGCTCGTTACACAATTGGCAGGTTTTCATTTTGGCTCTTGGTAATAGCAGGACTGTAGAGCTTTAATCGGGTTTCATTATAATTTAGAGTGCTTTTGTTGTACTCGATCCTCATAAGGGCTCCGAGGAGAGACTAAATCAAGACTCTAGTGCTGGCCCTTTATGTGGGGCCTCAACCCTTAACTGGAGGCTTCTCGCCTGGCTCCCAGAGCGACGAAGCTCCGACTCTAGGTGACACGGTGGCTCGGCTTAGATCTGGCTCTGGGGAAACCCGCAAATCCATTATTTCTCCTTGCTGTTTCTCCAAACACTGGTAGGGAAAAAGAATTGTGGGCTAGGAATCTGAAAACCTTCTTCAAGAGACGGGGAATTCATGTACAAGAAAGTAGGAGATAGTATTTCTCCCATTAATGTGTTTATTGGGTAAGTGACAACTAAAGATGGGGTTAACTAGCCAGGACCACGTATCTGTTTTTCCTACACCCTGGGTGTGGCTATTCGTCCCGCAAAGAGATAACCCGAGGAACTTAAATAAGGCAAGGTTGTTTAGTTCTGGTGCCACGCAGCCCTGTGTCTGAGTCATGGAGATGGGAGTGTAAACATGCAAATGGCTGTGTGTCATGTAATACCAACCTCGTAAAAAGTAAAGATTTGCATTAATAGGAATTAGCTAGATATCACTTAGAAAAGGTTAGTCGTTACAACAATTCTAAGCATAACATTAAGAAATTGTCGATAAATGTACAATATAGAAAGGTATATGACGAGTTACCACCTGGACAGCTTTAAGTTAAATTTACTAAAATTGGTAAGATCTACTTACTTGAGTAATCAGGAAATAAAGTTTCTTTGAGATAATTTTGGTCTTGGAGGTAGTTGATAAAATGTTTGTTTTACAAAATACATCTTTTCATTTTTGTAAACCTAACATTGAGTCTGAGTTTGTTTCACCAACTGGCGGCTTCTCCTGAGTCATACATGTTGATTGGTAGAATGATCCAGAGAGGCGATCTCATGATTGATAATGATGACTGCTGGGATTTCTCGCAGTTGCCAGAAGTGAGTCATTCAGCTTCCTGGTTTAATGTTTTGCCAAAGTAGGTCATTTGGTAACCTCAACAAAGCAAAATGTTTCAGCAGTAAGGCGCGCACTGTTCTTGTATAATAAATGAGGAATTTTTTACAGTCTATATATAAATGAAACTTAATAATATCATTTGTGGTAATAAAATGTAAAAGGTAATTTGTGAAAGAAAAAGAGAATGACAAAATCCCAAAGATCAGTAGTTTGGTAATCTAGCACAGAACTTGGCATTGTGTTCAATAAATGTTTGTTCAATGAATAAAGTGCAATTTTTCCTTTTGTTCAGCTGGGAGAAAAACGACTTTGCAACAGCCTTAGACCCTAAAATAGAAAACAGAAAGACACTACTTAATCTCTTTAGGCTAATAGTTTTTGCCTAGGCAGTTCCTTTGAAAGAAACAGGAATTGATTCTGAGAGTCTAAGTGATTTTACTTGGCTAGATGTCTTTTTGTAAAAATCTATAAGAAAAACTGGTTCCAATTATAAATTCACAATTGTTTTCTTGACATTATCAGTTGATATTTAACATATGGAGTTAGTCTGGTTTGTCATTTCCTCATTTGACTATCTCAGCAGAATTATGAGACTAACTCCTAATTACCAACAAGTTAGAAACTTTGATATGGAATGCCCAAATGAGCACAGCAAAATTCTATATTGTCTTTATATTGGGCCTCGAAATTACAGAAATCTGTCCATTTCAAAATATCTACTTAAAAAATGTTTTTATTATGAAATATCGCAAACGTGAAAGTTGGAGATAACACCATAAAACTACCACCCAGTTTTATTAAATCTTGACATTTCACTATTTTGCTTCAGTTTAAAATTTTTTATGGTAGTAAAAAATACAATATAAAATTTACTGTCTTCCTGTTTTTAAATGTGCAGTTCAGTAGGCGTTACCTATATTCACGTTGTATAACACATCTCTGGAAATTTTTCATCTTGCAGAACTGAAACTCTATACCACTGAACCACATTTCCCCATTTATTCCCCTCCAGCCCCTGATAACTATCATTCTACTTTCTGTTTCTGTGATTTTTGACAACTTTAGATACCTTGCATAAATGAAATCATACAATATTTGTCTTTTTGTGACTGGCTTATTCCACTTTGCATAATGTCTTCAATGTTCAACCATGATGTGATGAAAGAAAAAAGAAAGAAAAAAATTTTCTTCTTTTTAAAGGCTGGGTAATATTGCATTTATGTATATACCACATTTTGTGTTATCCATTCCTCTGTCTGTGGATATTTGGGTTGCTTCCATCTCTTGGCTGAATAATGTTACAATAAACATGAATGTGCAAATATCTCTTTAAGATCCTGCTTTCAGTTCTTTTGCATATACAGAAGTGAGCTTATTTCTATTTTTACTTCTTTTAGGAACTTCTATACTGTTTTACATAGTAGCTATACTATTTTACATTCCCACCAGCAATGCACAAAGGTTCCAATTTCTCCACATCCTCACCAGCAGTTGTTACTTTCTGTTTTTTATTTTATTTTATATTTATAGTGGCCATCTTAAGAGTGTGAGGTGATATTTCCTTGTGCTTTTGATTTGCACTTCCATAATGATTTATTTTTTATTTTTAAATAATTATAGATTCATAGGAAGTTTCAAAAATGGTGCAGAGAGGTCTCATTCAAACCTTCACCCAATTTCCCCCAATTCCTTTGACATTTATCCAATATATTTTCATTCCTTTGGTTGCTGAGTAGCATTCCAGGGTATGGATATACCATAGTTGATTTATCCATTCACCAATAGATAGACTTTGGGGATGTTTCCAGTTTTGGGCCGTTACAAGTAAAGCTGCTGTGAAGATTCATCTACACATTTTTGTGTGAACATACGTTTTCGTTTCCTTGGGATGAATGCTGGCTATATGGTAGGTAGCTGGTATAATTGCTGGGTCATATGGTAAGTATATGGTTAGGTTTTTAAGAAACTGCCAAGCTATTTCCAGAGTGGGTGTACTATTTACATTCCCACCCTGAGTGTATGGGAAGTGCAGTTTCTCTGCAGATTCACAGCATTTGTATTATTATTTTTTTGCTTTAGCTATTCTAATATATATGTATTGATATTTTGTTGTAGTTTTAATTTGCATTTCCCTACTGATTAATGATGTTGAACATGTTTTTACGTGCTTATTTGCCATGTGTATATCCTATTTGCTGAAATGTCTGTTCATGTTTTTTGCCCATTTTGTAATTGGACCATTTATCTTTTTGAATTTTGAGAGTTATTTATATATTCTAGATACAAGTTCTTAGATATGTGGTTTGCAAATATTTTTTCCCATTCTATGAGTTTTCACTTTCTTGATAGTGACTTGAAATACAAAAGTTTGTTACTCTGATAAAGTCTCAACGCCCTCTTATACCACTCTTACCTGATCTCTTCAACTATCACCTCAATTTCACTTCAGCAGTGAACCTTGTTATCATCTGAAGCTGATTGAACTCGACTTTCTTAAACCCCAGTAACCTACTCTCAGAGTCCAACCTCTCACCCTTCTAGCTTTCTTTCTACCTAATCTGCTCTGTAAACCTCCTAAAGGCCTCCAGTTTCCCATTTCTTTGCTTTCTTCTCTTAACAGCACCTTTCACACAAATTTAAAAGTTCTGATTAAGTTCAATTTATTGGTTCTTTTCTCAAATAGATTGTGCTTTTGGTGTCTTGTCTAAGAACTTGTCATCTAGCCCTAGGTCCCAAAGATTTTCTCCTGTGTTTTCTCCACACTTAAATCATTCATTTTGTATAAGGTTTGAGGTTTAAGTTGAGGTTCATTTTTTCCCTTTACATGTCTAATTGTTCCAGTAGCATGGAAACACTATACTTTTTATATTGAATTGCTTTTACACCTTTTACACTAACTCAAAACTCAGTTGACTGGACTTGTATGATGTGTGTTAGTTGTTTGTTTTTTAACACCAACCTGAATTTGATGTTATTAACCCCGGGCATCTTTTACAACTAATAATATAAATTTATGGTTCCATAAATATTGTATGTTGCTGTAGACTGAACGTGTCCCCCCAAATTCATATGTTGGAACCTAATTCCCAATGTAATGGTATTTGGAAATGGGGACTTTGGGAGGTGATCAGGTTATGAAAGCAGAGCCCTCAAGAATGAGATTCGTGCGCCTATAAAAGAGACCTCACAGAGACTTTTTGCCCCATGTGGGAACAGAGGAAGTGGACCGTTACCAGACATCAAATCCGATGACACCTTAATCTTGGACTTCTCAGCCTCCAGAACTGTGAAAAATAAATTTCTGTT